GGCACTCTATGAGGTAGCTGTAACCCTGATCAAAGATTCCCCGTAAATTAATACCTTCGCCATACAACAACAATGTAACCTGTCTGAAAAGCTTCTGCATAGTTAAGACAAACCACGAACAAGCACATTTTATATTTGTATTTTCCTGATTATAAATAGATTTGAGCATTTGAGTTCCTCTTCCATGAAATGCCTGTTCATATCCTTTGCCCATGTTTTTCATTAGGTTGTTTTTTCCCTTGAGTCACAGAGGTTATTTATACATTCTGAATTAATCTTTGTCAGTTGTATGTTAGTAAATCTCTTCTCCTAGTCTATGGAAACTTTTATATTGTCAGTGGGACCATAAACTGATAGCCTTTTGGAGAGCAATTTAGTAACAACCAGTAAAGACGAAGGTGTAAATGCTACACGTCCTAGCCATTCTACCTCTAGGCTTCTACCTTAGAGAAACTCTCATACGAGAGAACAAGGAGATACTCACAAGGCTATTCATTACAGTACAATTTGTGATAGCAAAAAAGTAAAAACAGTAATGGACTTCCTGATCAAGATAACCTTTCCCACCTCATTTCCCATCCTTCCCTTCTTTTCTCATGAGTTCTATCCATTCATTTATTCATTAGCCCCCTTAGCCAACATTATTAAGCGCCTACTCTGAACTAGATACCATGCTACACAGGCAGTCATGCTTGCCTACTGGCAGTCGCCCCTCTGAAACCTGGTCTCTTACTGCCTTCAGGAGGCTTTCCCTGTCCTACCTCTGGGTCCTGACACAACCTTGTATAAAGTACTTATCGGCACTCCATTATCCCTGTTATTCAATTAGGTAACACTAAAATAAGCGGAGGCAGTTCCAAATTACACAGTCAAATCTCTGAACAAAGGACAATTCCGTTTTCACTAGATCCCATCCAATAATTACCAAAAAATGAAATAAAATTTATTTTCCAAGCCAACATTTCGTGCTAGAACATTACTTTCAAGAGGATGTCTTAAGTACCACATGATCTCACTTATGTGTGGAATCTTAAAAAAAGAAGAAGCCAAGCTCATAGATACAAAGAATAGATTGGTGGTAGCCAGAAGCAAGGGGGGGTGGGGCGGGGAGTGAGTGAAATGGGTTAAGGGAGTCAAAGGGACAAACTACCAGGTATGAAATAAACAAGTCATGGGGATGTAATGTACAGCATAGTGACTATAGCTCATAATACTGTTTGCATATTTGAAAGTGGCTAAGAGAGTAGATCGTAAAAGTTCTCATCACAAGCTAAAGTAAAATTCTTTAACTATGTATGGTAACAGATGTCAACTAGACTTAACATGGCAATCACTTCACAATATATACGAAAATCAAATCATCATGCTGTATACCTGAAACTAATATAATGTTGTATTGTCAATTACACCTCAAAAAAAAAAAAAAAAAAGAAAAGAGGTTGCTTTAATCAACCTGGTATCCCCAGCACTTAGATTACTGCCTGAGACATAATAGTCACTCAATAAATATTTGTTAAGTAAAGACCAAGCAATATTATCTGACAAATAATGATATTTAAAAGCGAACACAGAGTGATTTATTTCTGTAGCTGATTTATTATTCAATAAAATAAGAGCTGTTTGCTCTCCTAAATTTAAAAAAACACTTTTTTTTATGGTGAGCTACTTTCACAAGTTCCTACCCAAATACTTTCAGGACATGTCTCAATGAATTTCTTCCCTATACAAAGCTGCCAAAGACTCAAAGTCAATAATTTTCTTCTCTGTGTTACTGACGAAGGAAAATTCCTACATTAACCACAAACGTCTGAAATTGTAGCGTTACTGTTAGATATATAACCTTTTATATGTAAAGTACACATAAAAGTAAAAAAAGATAAAATTATGCCTACCACCTAAAAATATCACTCCTGTTAAATACTGAGGAATGAGATTAAACACACACACACAAATCTTTATTTGTTAAAAAGTTATTTGCATACTTTGAGAGCTGAGAAAATTTTATGCCATAAAAGGCATAATAAACTAGTGTGTACTGGGCCTCGTTTGTGCTATTTTCTATATTATTATTCCACTGCGTGATATAATTATGAATATTTACATAAAAACAAGACACGAAGACTTAAGCCCTCTAAGTTATTAAATACAAGCGTGTAAAAATGGCTTCCTAAGCTATCCTTCCAACTAATTCTATTTAAAGAAGAAAACAAACTTAAAGTAATAAAGCTAGAAAAACAATAATCACCAGTTGGAAAAAACTAGAAATTAATTGGACACAAATTTGTACTTCTAGACTTAGGAAATGATTTTGATTCAGACGCTATTGATTTTATTTTTTAGAATTAAATTAGGTTAATTCCAAATGGTAGTTCCTTGTCAGAACAAGTGATATAACAATAATACTAGCTAGCTAGGATGATATTTGTTTCAGTAATTAAAAGACACAAAGGGAGAGTTTTGAGGAATTAATTATTAAGTTTCTTAGATATAGGAAGGCCTGGAAATCACATCAGTGATCAAATTTGATGTTGACTCTATCAACTATTTGTGATTCTCAAACACACAGAAAAATTTCACAGTAAGAAGCCTCTCAAAGAAGGGTATGAATAGCCTGATATATCAAAAACTAATTCTCATAACCAACCACACACAAAAAATATAGAAATCTAAAAATTAGTTTAATATAGTTTTATGTACAGACAGTGAACATAACCAATTATGGTAGCTTTTGGAAGGGATCTTATATATTATCTACTGATAATCTAAATCCCTCAATAAAAGTCAAAGAAACTGAAACCCAGAGAAATTAGGTGTGTTGCCAATCATCAAACGAAACGTTTAAATACCAGTGCAAGACCAGAGCCCAGGTCTTATGGCTTCAGCCCAGGCCTCTTTCTACTAAATCACTCAATCACAGTGAAACAGAAAAAAATAGGTATCCATCAAAGCCCTCCATGTTGGAATGTAAGGTGCTCTGCCCTCTCCCCTACTTATATACCCACCCAAATATAGCTGTGTTCTCATCTGTCCTTTCTTCCTGGCCCCTAGTCTCAGAGGGTGAGGTGTTCCTCCTCTATTAGTATCTTCAACTATTCTCTTGAATCCATCCCTCCCCATCTGCCACGAATCTTGCTCCATCAATAATTACTTTCACTCCTCTATTCTCAGCCTTTCTGTAGGACAGTCCACAGGACGGCTGGCTTCCCTCAGCATCAGCAAATGAGAGACGGTGCCCAAGAGAGAAGCCACAGTCTTTTGTAATCTAATCTTAGAAGTAACATCCCCATCATTTTTGCCAAATTTTATTTATTAAAAGCAAATCATGAGGTCCAGACCACATTCAAGGGCAGGGAATTACTTAAGGGCGTGACTACCAAAAGGCTGCAATTCAAGAAGCCATCTTAGAGGCTGCCTGCCACAGCTTCTAAAGAAGAAAAGCAGAGAGGGAGACCTGCTAACCAGATACCAGGGCTTCCTATGAAGCAAGCGATTAACAAAATGTGGTACGGCACAAGGACAGGTATATTGACTAATGGAATATTAAAAGAGCCCAGAAACAAATCAGTGCATAGATGGAGCTTTGGAAAATGAGAAGGTATGTCAGATAATGAGAGAAGGAGGGACTATCAGCAAATGGAGGCAGAAAAAATGCTTATCCACATGAAAACAGGGTCCCTAAACTTCCTCTCACTAGTAAAAAAACTTTAAAACTCTAAGAAAATACAGGTGAACTTTTTTTAGACCTTTAGATAGGAAATATTTCTTAAACTAGACACAAAGATGTTGATTACAAAAGACAGGGAAATGTGGTTATATTCAAATTAAGAACTGTTACTCATCAAAAGATATCTGAAAGATAAATTTAAAAACTGGGAAACACAGCCAAAAGGATTATTATCAAGAATATACAAAGAACTCCTACAAGTCAAGGAGAAAACTACAAATAATCCAATAGGCAGAGGATATGAACAGGCATTTCTCAGGAGAGGAAATAATAAATATATAAAGAAATGTTCAATATCAGTGATCAGAGAAATGCAAATTAAGATCACAATGAGATAACCCATTCAACTGGCAAAAATCTAAGTCTGACAATACTAAGTGTCACAGACAATACAACTCCAAAAGATCATGTTTACATTGCAGGTAGAAAGTAAACAAACTGAGGCAACCACTTTGGAAAACAGTTTGAAATTATCCCCTGAAGTTGAACATTAGCAACACTCCATCATCAGGAGAATAGATGTGAAATCCATGGTACAATTACACAATGCAATATTATATGGCGGCCAAGGAAAATATACTACAATGGATAAATTTTAGCAGTATAATCTTAAGTGTATAAAGTGAGCCTCAAAAGACTACATGACTTTTTATGAAGTTAAAAAGATCTAAAATAAAACAATCCCCAATGAACACAGGATTTAGGATGGCAGTTACCTGAGGTCAGTGGAAGCAGGGAAAGGAGGGGACCCATAAAGTTAGATATAAGTGACTGTCAAGAATCCAGTTTTGTTTTGGGACGTTGATTCAGAAAATGTGTCATGAAACAAAGATATGTTTAATTCAATTCTGCACACCTAAGATTTTTTAAAAAGGTGCATGATGCATTTCAACCTGCATGTTAATCACACTCTTCACCAACACCCATAGCAAATATGATTTGTTTCACTTATTCTGGTGCATCTTACAACATCTGTTGTTTCAAGTGGAATGGTCCTGCCTCCTTATCAAGAATATAAATTTTTCCTGTTTCCTTAGGATGGTATTTCTATTATACATTCCTTCTCTGAAAAAGTACTGACCATACAGTAAGTGCTAAATAAATACTTGTTAACATTTATATTTAACTCACTCCTCAAATAATCAAGAGTAACGTGATGACCCCTGCACCCTAGATTCCTTTAAAAATATATTACTACCTCTAATTTAATGACTCCTAGTGCTTTATTCAGGAAAGGAACTAAGCTGTTAAACAAAGACCAAAACCACCTGCCCACCTGTTATGGCTGAGGGAAGCACTGATGGCTGTGGGCACCACAGTCTGTAACCCTTCTCCTTCTATCTCAGTACCGACAAGACAGATGAGCTGGAGATCTGGTAATCCCACACAGTTTACTTCATGCCAACTTTTACCTGAAAGGGCATCATCGAATGGACAATAATGTTTATCAAAAATGAAAGATAAAAATTCCAAACTTCTACCTAATACTCAGCTGAGCAAACATCATTCATAATGATATCTTCCCTTTACTTTTCTAGTATTTTCTGTTACCCAGTAATTCCCAATGTAAATGAAGAAATTACAAAATTGGCAAAATTAACAGCAAATGCATAAAGGCTATATACCAATCCAACTCCCCATCCCCCCACCACAGCCCCAATAACAAAACAATATAAACAAATAACTTACTCTCCATGAGGTCCAGGTAAACCAAGAATGCTATATAAACTTGGGTGGCATCTCCTATATCTAATTCCATCATTTCTAAATACTGAAAATCAAAATGTAATTGTCAAATAGAGAAGGAAGAATCTCTTAATATTTTCTTTCACTCAATCAACAACTATTCATTAAATATATATAACATATCAGACTCCCTTCTAGGTATAGTGGGAGTTACAAGGCAATTAAGACCTGATCCCTGTCTCTAAAAAATGTGTAATTGTTAGGGTAAACACATGCACACTTGCAATTATTACACAATTAACAATACATGACAGTAAGTGATTAAAAACGAAGTAAGTGGAATAAAAAAAAAATATGACCCAACAGGTCAGAGGAGCTCTCCTCAGGTGGCTTGGCTGGTGGCTATTTCACGGCAGAGGTGGAATAAAAGTTGAGCCCTGCAGGACATGTATGATTTGAGTAAAGAGAGAAGGTGGAGTAACAGTGAGCAATTACACAAAAGTGGGAATAAGCCACACATATTCAAGAGCCTATAAAGAAACCTATCCGCCAGGAGTAGAGACAGTTTTAGTAGGACTTTTGTTGGGGAACGTTAGTGGGAGCCTCCACTTCCTGGTCTCTTATTTGCCTGCGGAGAAGTGTTAGAACACCACTCCAGGTCTCTCTCCCCACCCCTTCTCACTCAAGAGTAGGGAGTTATTTAACTGTTGGATTTTAAAGAAAGGACCAAGCAAGCTGCTGCTTCTTTCTGACTTGCAGGTCAGCATTGGGGGAACATTCTTCAGGGGCTACCCCTGCAGGGGAAGCCTGAGGTTTTCCAGCTATGTCAGTGACAAGGTGGGTAAGCAGGGCTAATGCAGAGGCGAGTGGGTCAGCAGACCCGAATGAGTGCAGATTGGAAGTCACATCCTCCCATCGGCTTCATCATAAGTATGCACAGGTGCAGAACAGGGATGTTATCAGTCATCCTCTCCAAATCTCAAATGTGTTTGAAAATGATGCTGAAAAGGTAACTGGGGACCAGGTTGCAAGGTCTTGATGGCCAAGCTAAAAGTCTGAATTTTACTCACAAGGAAACACTGAGGATTTCTAAGCTTGAGAATAACATAATGAAAGTGGTGTTTGAGGATGATAAATCCAATACCATGTTACTGGATGGACCTACGTAATTTTCAAACTGAATAATAACAATGCAGAACTGGAAAATCAAATACCCAATATCTTTTCTTTTTTTTAACCAATTAGATCCTTCAAGAAGAAAAATCAAAAGACTTGACAGTCAGGGTCTGTACTGCCATTAACTTGAACGAGAAAAAATCTGCTTGTATGAAACTGAATAGCACTACCAAATCGATGAGTTTTTAAAAACCCGTTAGTGGTGTTTCATTATTAAATACTTACAAGTACGTTACAAATATTAATTGAGTTAATCATGTAACAACCCTGTAAGATAAGTATTATTAGTATCCCCATTTCACCCATGATGATACTGAGGAATAATGAAATTCAACAACCTGCAAAAAAGTAAAATTCACAAAATCTGGTGACAGAACCAGGATTCAAACTCAGGCAGTTTGACTTTGAGTTCACACTCTTAGTCACTAAGCTGCCTCTCCATGCTATGGTTTTTCTTCTTATGGCACCGAATAACATCCCCATGTTATTGTTTGTTTTTCTCACCTTACAGGCAATAAGGAGACAGAAGAGGAGGATAAAATCAAGCAAGAGAAGATGAAAAAAGGTTAACGCTTTTCAGACTTATACCTTCAAAATTTTCCTTTTCTTGACTGTTTTTCGACAATATGAATTACTGCAGAAGACTGCAATTCTACTCAAGTTACTGAACCAGCCCCCGAGATTTCTACAAAACCCCCATCTCCACTCACTGTCTGTTCATGGCTTGGGATATTACCGGTACAAGGCAGCAAGTCCCAAGCAGAAGCAAGCAAGGAACCATCTTTATCTCCTTTGCTGCTCATACAGAAAGACACACCCACAAAGTGAGTAGTTCTGCTTTGGGGAAGAACCTACTTAAACTTTCCAAGAAATTCGAAAAATTAGGACTCTGCACTTCGGCGAAATCAAGATGTACACTCTGAGCCCAAGGCTAGGTGTAAACGTGACTGTGCCTAAGCCTTTATCATTACAGACTCTTAGATCTGAGCCGTGGTGCACACACTGTTGTGCGTGGTTCCTGTGGGGTTTACACGAGACGACCCCAGAATGAGCCCCAGACGGCAAAATCGGATGTTGGCATCGCGTACTACTGGCGTCCGCCTTGACGGGCGCTGGGTTCAATGTCTTGTCCCCCAGTTAAGACTGGCTTGGGGTGGGTGGGGATGGGTGGGTGAGGGTGGGGTTAGAACAATAGTTCGACTCCTTTAAACTAACAACACCGCTTGCAGCGGGCACTGTGCACACGGGTCCCCTGTGAAGTCCGCACATCCTACGCATCCGGCCGCGCAAGCACTCGAGGGCCGGAGGGGCGCGCGGCCCGGGGCTTCCGGCCTAGCCCGGCGCCCTGCTCCTCCCGCGCCTCCTGACCTTGGGGTGAGTGCCCATCCAGGCGTCCTCGGGGGCCCATGAGTGGGCGCCGCCGCCGCCGCCCGAGCCCAGACCGCTGCAGCCCGGGGTGGGCTCGGGGTCGCCGCGCTCCTCCATGCCCGGCTGTGCTGCGCGCCCGTGGTGCACCGCGCCCCGCGCCCGGCCAGAAGCCGAGCCGCGCGCCGCAGGTTCCGCTTCCCCGCTGCCAGCCGCCTCTGCACCGGAGGGCTCAGATGATGGGAGGAAAGTTGGATCGGCTCCTCACTTTCACAAACGTAGCTAGAACCTGCTTGAACGCACTGTAGTTTCGCTCACTGTTTATTCAAATCTGGGCAGATACTAGCTTGAAGGAGGTTCGAAAGTACTCCGAGCCCAGAAGCCCTTAACTCTCCTTCACATCAGTGCTGTTTGCATTTCTGTTGAGAAAGGGGGGATACTTAAAGCCTCTTTGCCTTCAGCATTGGGTCCAATCCCTGGGAACAGGAAAAGCCTCATTCAGTGCCATGTCATATAAGTTTAAAGTGTGCAATTGGATGAGATCCTTATAAAAGAAAGTAGAAAGAAGAAAGACCAGACGGCCAAGAACCATATTTTCAAGGTGGACTCACCTTTCAGGATTTGAGGAGCAAGACATGACTTGTTGAATGAGTGGTCAGAAAAGCAGGATGCAAACCAGCATGTGACCTGGAAGCCAAGGATGGGGTGGTTCAGACAGGCAGAGTAGGGCTTTTGAAGCATTTTTGGATTTACTATACGTGAAATGGCGAGACACTGGAAGTTCCTGTTACGTTTTAATAGTATGCCTCTGACTGTGTTGAGAATAGACCTTAGTGGGCAAGGGCAGAAGCAAGGACTGGTTAGGAGGCAATTGCGTTAAGGAAGGCAAGATAATGACTCAAGTTTCAAAGTCCCAGGCAGGGATAGAACTTCTGCTTCCAAATACCACAGACTAAGGCTCTACTAGACAATCTCCCAGCAGAAAACATCTGTAAAACTTGGAGATAATACAAACAGCAATTACCTGAATATACGAGAATGCTAACAGAGGCAGGCTGACTCTGGTAGGAAGGGCAAGCTTGCTTGGAGAAGGACAGATGAGGAACAGTACAAGTAAGTTCCCCTTTCCTTGGCATTTCGCATGAGGCTTAGTGTGGTCCAGGAGGGAGGCTCAGCAGAAGCAGGAGCGCAGCTAAAAAACATCTCAGTTTTTCTTATCTGGGGAAACCAGAAAGCGAATCCAGGAAACTTTGAATGCTGAAGAGAATGGGAAATGCCAGAAGGGAATGAGCCAGAGAGGTGATCCCCAAACACTGTCTGCTCATATCTCTGAGGGGTCTTGAACCACCTGAAACAGAATCACAGCAGTTTGCTTAAAAACAAAAGATCTGAGACTAGAGCTGTCCCCCAAGAAGCAGAGTTTGCAGTTGAAATCTAGTCCAGAAAATTACCTACTAATACAAAGGAAATAACACTCATCATAGAAAAATAATAGAATCCAGAACCTCCACCACTTATCATTCATAAAGTCCAAGATATGATTCAAAATTACTGATATATGAAAAATCAAGAAAATGTATATTTTCTTGAGTCTGGCCCTGAGATGAATCAGATGTTGAAACTGACATGTGAGGATTTTAAACTAACTGTTTTAACTATCCTCAAGGAAATAAAACAAAACATGTCAGTGAATGAAAATCTCAGGAACCAAAAAGAACATCTCAGCGGAGAAAAAGAAAAAAGAACCAAATGGAAATCCTGAAAATTAAAACTTCAGAAATTAAAAATTTCCCTGGATGAATTTAACAGCCAGATGGAAATTACAGAGAAAAACTTAAAGGAACTTGAAGGTAGAGCAATAGAAATCATCCAAGGTGAACAATAAAGAGAAAAATGAGTTTTAAAAAATGAGCAGAGCCTCAGAGACCTGCTGCATGATACCAAACAACCCAACAGACATATAAATGGAATACCAGAAGGAGAAAAGAAAGAATGGGGCAGAAAAAAAAAATTGAAGAAATGGAAACCTTCCCCAAATTTGATGAAAGGCAGAAATTTGCAGGTACAAAATGCTAAATGAATACCAAATAAACACAATGAGGTCCATGCTGAAGTCAAACTATTGAAAGAAGGAGAAAAGGCTCAAAAGCATCAAAAGAAACAATACATTACATACAGGAACAAGGGCATCTATTCTTGATGTGGAATCACACATGAAGATTCATAAATTAACCTTTGTCCCCCATAAAGCAGCTGCTAAACCTTCAAAGAAGCAAATGGCACTGAGGCTAGTAGCTCCTTGAAGCACTGAACACTGACACTAATTCAAGTAATTGGAAGTATATAAACCTTTCTCTCTCACCTCTAAAGATCCCCATCAGTTTAGATGATATTTACAGAAGCATGAAGACCATTTTGTTCCTAACATGAGTAGAGAGGAAATTTTATAAATCAGTAAGGAGATCCAATGGAATTAGGTACTATCTGAATAAGCCTCAAACATCTTCAGGGGATGATTTTCAGCTTAAGCTTAAGGAAAAAAGGGGGTTCAGGAATCCCAGAGGGATGCAGAAAGAACCATAAACTGAAAAAGCAACAGGCTAATGCTACCCTTTGGCAAATAGATGAAGTTCTATTGCTTAAAAAAAGCACAATACATTTAAGCATGAATGTTAAATGCTTCTGACTTTTAATGTCATTGTCTATTACAAAGAGCTGAAGAGTGAAAATGGAGTGTCTCTTAGCTTCCGTATTAAGCAATGAAAATTTTAAAATAGGGCTTGGTGATTGGGAATGACTAAGAAAGAAAACAAGGGATTTAGGACCACTTAAACAACCCAGTGTTTAAAATAGAATCAAAATGGCCGTTGTGGCAATCCAGAGTGAAATCCATCAGAGAATAGGTTAGAGTTTCAGCTTCTGATAGACTGAAGGATTTCTCCTTTTATAAATGCTTCAATAGTTCACTATCTTAGGGAAACAAAGTGGTTAGGAAAAACGCTAGGTAAGCAACAACAAATAAAATTCCCCCGAGTATGCTGGATTTACTCAAATTCAGTAATGTGACACTTGCTCTACTGATTTCCCATCTTGATATCTGAGCCAGACCATTTTATTCCTACTAAAAAAAAATCTGTGTTGTCTAGGCAGAGACATATTAATTCAGTTAGAGTCTCAAGAGGGAAAACGAACTTTGAATTTTAATGTGAATTTTTAGTGTGTTAAAAGAAAAAAGATACAGCTTTTATGCAGTATTGTATAAGACAGTGTGTCAAGCTAAAAAATATAGACTAGCATTCTGGATCAGCTTTTAATTCATTGGTTGTGAGAATGTTCATATATATCTTGTTCCTTTTGTTGTACAGAAAGCATACAATTTCCCATTCTCTGTGTTTCAAGGAGAATAGGTGAAATGTTTATACTTCTAGTAAAATATTTAGAATGCTGTGGTATTTTACTGTTCATATGCATGAGTATATATGAGACCTCTATCAAATAAAAAAGAAAATATATTCTCTCTAGTTTCTCATGAATTTGAGTGCAATCTAAATTCCTCGTTTACAAAATCAGCATATAGTATATTTAATTATTTTAAATATTGCTTACTATTAGAACAAAAAGACAACAAAAATAAGGTACCTAAGATGAGGATGAACAAGCCCTTTATGGAGAACATTATAAATGTTATCGAAGGTCATTAGAGAATTCCTAAATCAATGGACAGACATACTATGCTTCTGGAGAGAAAGATTCGGTATTATGAAGATGGCAGTTTCCCCAAAATTGATCTATAAATTCTAGCAATTCCAATCACAATTCCAACAGAGATTTTCCTATTACCTGATAAGCTAATTCTGAAATGTGGTCATAAAGGGCCAAAAATAACCAAGACTCTTCTGGTGAACAAACTGAGGGAACTTATTATAAGGGGCTGTAATTAATAGTGTGTGATATTGGTACAGGGATACATAAATAAACCAATGGAACCAAATAATCATACAAATATGGACAGAAATGACTTATTGCAGCAGGGAGGGGCTGAGGCAATGAATTTTATACATATATAGTATTTGTATAATATTACAGTATATATTTGTGTATATGTATATGTATAAGAATAAATTTGATTCCTAATTACACCATAAACAAAATCAATTCCAGAGAGATTAAAGGCTTAAAGTGAAGTGCAAACATGTAAAAATTTTGGTAGAAAATAAAAAAGAATATTTTATAACCCCAAGATAGAGAAGGATTTTTTAAGCAAGACACCAATCATATGAAACAAGTTTGATAAATTTGACTATATTTCTATTAAGAATTTCTGACACGAAGATAGTGAGGGGGAGAAAAGGCACAGACTTGGAGAAGGCATCTGTAACATATAATTGAAAGAAAAGATCCATATGCAGAACTCCCAAAAGTCGATTAAGAAATAAAACAAACATCCTCTAGGAAAAAAAATAGAAGTACATAGAAAAAAAAGGACATAGCCAGCAAACATGAATTGGCGCTCAACTGCAGTGGTGGAGTGAGAATATGCAAATTGAGACAAGACGATATCATAACGTAACCAAATATACCATAACATAATCAAATGTCTATGTTACTGGTTTATGTATTTACTATACCATACTTTTTATCATTGTGAGATTGGCAACAAAAGCCACGAGTTGGCTGAAAAGAGTAAAGAAAAGATGCACAAATCCTACCATCCAGTGATTCTACTCCCAGGTACACAGCCTAGAGTAGTATTTTTCAAATGGAGGCCTAGGATCCATTAGTTGTTGTGAAATAAACTGAATGAATTTGGGCCAGTTTTTAAATATAAATTATTAAAAATACAATAGAAAATATCAGTGTGCATTGCATGTGGTTAGAATAATTGTTACTAAGTATTGCTTCATGAAAATTTTGTTTCAGTTATATATTTGTACTATACCATGATACCAAATGTGTTTCTAACTGAGGGTTATGGTCAAAAAATTTGTCTCCTGTAGACCAGGAGACATGTACATGAATATTTATGGAAGTATTGGTTGTAATAGAAAAAAACTGAGATAACCCAAATATCTGTTAACAACAGAATAGATGAATTCATTGTTGTATAATCATAAAAAGTATTACTATGTGAAAACAATGAACCATAGCTTCAATCAACAACTTGGATGCATCTCAAAAATACCTAATGTATAGTCACGTGCCACATAATGGCGTTTGGGTCAGCTATAGACCACATATTCGATGGTGATCCCATAAGATTATAATGGAACTGAAAAATTTCTATCACCTAGTGATGTCGTAGCCATAATAACGTAATAGTGCAACACATTACTCATGTGTTTGTTGGTGACACTGGTGTAAACAAACCTACTGCATTGCCAGTTATATAAAAGCATAGCACATACAGTTACGTACAGTACCCAATACTTGATAATGATAATAAATGACTATGTTACTGGTTTATGTATTTACTATACTGTACTTTTTATCATTATTTGAGAGTATACTCTCTCAACTTATTTAAAAAAGTTTACTGTAAAACAGTATACCATGTTACACTGGCAGCAGCCTCATACATCTCGTGTTTACCACTTCTCTTATGACATTATTTTCTCTTATGTCTGATTTAATCTTGTGTTGTTTTGTTCATCATGGCCCCTAAGTGTACAAAATCCACTGCTGATGTTGCCAGTAAGAGGCCATATCAAGTGACTGACCTGGAAAAGAAATTTAAAGTGATTAAATATTATAAAGGTGGAAAATCAGTGAGGGTTACTGCTCACCAGTCACGCATGTCCCTTTCCCCCCTAGCTATGGTCTTAAAGAACAGGAAGAAAGTGACAGAAGCTGTTAAAGGGTCTGCTTCATTGAAGGCACGAGACTAACAAAAATTTGAGAAGGGCCTATATCAGATGTGGGGAAATTTCTAATGACCTGGACTGAAGATCAAACATAGAAATGTATCCCTCTCATCACCACGACCATCACGGCCAAAGCACAAAGTTTGTTTGCCACGTTGAAAGAAAAGGCTGGACCTGACTATGATGTTGAATTTACTGCTAGCTCTGCATGGTTTAAATGATTCAAGAATCGTTATTCATCACATAATGTGAAAGTGAGTGGTGAGTCTGTGAGTGCTGATAGGAAAGCAGCTGAAGAATGTTTGGAAACTCTAGATAAGCTGATCATGGAGGAGAATTACTTGCCAGAGCAAACATTCAATATGGATGAAATCTTCTTCTTTTGGAAATGGATGCCTGAAAGGACTTTTATCCATAAGGATCCCAAGTCAATTTCAGGTTTCAAGGCTTTAAGGACAGGATAATAGTCTTGCTTGGGAGCAATCTTGCAAACTACACATTGAAACCCTTTGCAATCTGGCACAGTGAGAACCCCAGGGTCTTCAAGCATATCAATAAGCACACACTGCCAGTGTCCTACAGGAGAAATAAGATGTCATGGATGACCCAGCTCCTCTTCCAAGATGCGCTCTTGAATTGCTGTGCTGGTGAAATGAAGAAGTACTGTTTGAAGAATAACATAGCTTTCAAGATTTTGCTTATTGTTGATAATGCTCTCGGACACCCTCCTTTTATTGGTGATCTTCAGCCCATGTCAAAGTGGTGTTTCTCCTTCCAAATACAACCTCTTTGA